TTGAACACCAGATTCCAGATGAAACATAAGGAGAATTGTAAGGCAGTTCTAACTAGAATCCAGAGAAACTTTCCAAAAGAATTATGAAAATGATTACAAGAATTATTAGGTACTTGTGAGCAGAATGCCAAGAGAATAATGAAAATCCAAAGGGAATTATGAAACGAATTGAATAAAACATTATGAAATTAATTCCAAAGGAATTCACGGAATTCGTAGGTAATACAGCGAACACAATTATGAATTTTAAAAGAATTGCAGGGTGAATCAAAAAGCCTTCTAATGGAGAAGAGTATTATGGAGCAAATTGTAAAGGAATACCTTTCTACGCAGTCTGACGAATTGTTGAGATAATTCTAAGGAAATTCTCGAGAAGATTCTAAAGAAATCCTGTAAAGAGTTCCAAGCAGTGTTGATAAAATCATTCCTTCTACACTCAACTTAGCTGAAAACTAAGCCAACCTTAACAGATAGACCAACTACTTGCATGAATCTGAATTTTGACATAACAACATTCTCTTGATCAAGACAACCTCTGAGTATCGTAGTCAACATTAAATGTCAAATTTTGTTGTTCTTCGTGGCTGGATGTTCATTATCGCCTCCGTTGTTGCCAATATTAACATTCGTCTTCATCTTGGTGGGGATGATTTTGAGAATCAAATGCAAAGTGATTATTTTCATTTTACACAAATATAGCCCTGAAGGACGTGTCGTGTTATTTTTTACACACACAAACCGATGGAAAATTATTGCCTCATGCTGAACTGATGATAAAATCCCGGTTTTAGGCTCTGGAGTCGATAATATTTAAAATAATCATTTTGCCCAAAATGAATTTGATTATTTTGCTTTTCAGGATCATTTCTGATTTTGACAATTTTGAGTTGGATAATCAAGCACTAGAGAATATCAACAAACGCGTATTCGTTGATGTTTAATGAACTCATATGTTCATTTAGCTCGTACGTAACAGGGAGATGCACCGTCGGGTTAACCTCACTTATGTTGACATCTGGCAGTGGGTTGTTTACATGGACCTAGAGAAAAAATTATTAAATGTTTTTTTTAGATTTGTTAGAGAGGAATATTTTTCAAACGAACATAATCGGATATCATATCTTTTAATTATTTTTTTAAACCTCAAATTCACTTGAATCGACTAACAAGCAAAGGTAAACAAACCACCACTGGATGTCATACTGATGAATGCGGGTTCATCGCGTTCATTCGTGACGTCAGCGTGCAGCATCCTACAGCGAAGATTTTCAAAACAAACGCAATTCATCTACACTGGATTGAAGCGCTACTCCTCGCGTGTGATGGTAAATGATAAAAACAGACACTGGTTCCAAGGTTATCAAGATGATACAAGCATAGAAATTTGTTTCGAGATCACAGAAGAAAAATCGCGACCCCGGCGTAGTGGTTAACATCCTTACCTCTCACGCCAAAGTCACGAGTTCAAATCTCACCCCCGGACAAGTCACGAATGACCCAAGAGTGTTAAAGTGACTATAATAAATAAATTAATTATTAATTAGAAAAATCAAGATACCTATAAGATTTAAAAAAAATATGCTCATGCAAAAGTTTTCTAGATTGTGATAGATTAAGAAAAATCGACAGTGAGCATGCATAAAGGCGTATACGCGATGATCGATTCTCTTCATCGATTTTCTCTTTGCATTGCTACAGCTAAGCGAAACAATTTTCTAGAATTTGTTCAATGCAGAGTTGTAGCAGGTTGTATTGGCTATCAAAAGCAACAGCAAACGCACCGAGCAAAGTTAAATCAAGCGAGTTATTAACAAAAGAGAACATCGACGAATACAACAACAAATATTCACAATTTAAATTATGATAATTATTATGATTAATAATTATGATATGATAATTATGATACTGTTTGACAATATTTCAAAGCATGGTTTCGATAAAAACCTGAAAACTTGTCCTGAAAAAACGTGGAAAACACAGTAACGAATCCTTAACCGTTACTATGGCGATCAAGTAGTCTGCAGTCTCCATGTGACTAGTCAGTAGACTGATGCAATATTTGAAATTTTTGTCTCCACAGTGCTCAAACGGTTCCAAATTGGGTCCTAATTATCCTCCCAAAATTTGAACTACTTTAGTAAGAACCTGACTTGGCACAATCCATTTGAAGTTTATATGGAAATTACTATGGGGAAACCATAATTTCGGTTCATATCTATCTCAAAATTCACCTAATCACTCTACTTTAGATAATGATAGCTGAACTTGTTGACAACAGCTACAACTTTGTTGAAGACCACGTTTCGATCAAATGTAAGGAACAAAAATTATTAATGATTCAAGTCACTGATGTCTTATGATTATGTTCAATCAACTGTTCAGCAGGCAACATTGGTGTTTATGGCGCGTAGAATAGAGGACAAAAATCATGGCTACTATGTCACACTGCAGAATACAGTGTTGCCCACAATACAGTTGCTTAATCTTGCCATAAGATTATCAATCTCTTAAACAATTAATAACTATTTAATTTGACGTTTGGCTAAAAAACAATTTTCTGCAAAGTTGTAGCTGATAAAAATTCCCATAAGAATAGCAATAGAACTTGTTAACAGTACAATATGGAAAAAGGCTAGAAGACAATGAACAAAAAGTTTGGTTTTCCTATAGTAATTTCCATATAAACTTCAATACCTTCAAATGGTTTGTGCCAAGTCAGTTTCTTATCAAATGAGTTTAAAGTTTCGGAGGCTAATTAGGACCCGATTTGAAACCGTTTGAACACTGTGGAGCGGACATATCAAATTTTGCATTAGTCTACTAGTCAGCCATTACCCATACTTTATTATTGCCCTTGCATCCACTTACGCTCTAAGTGCGCCACACTGCAAATTTAAAATGAAAATTAAATTACATTAGAATACTTCAGGCATAACATTTGATAACGGCACAAAAGCATTTGTAAACAAACTTTCTAAGGCCCTTTACACGCGAACCAAAGTACGCCCACGCAAACCAATACCACTTTCGGAAAGGTGATAGTTGCCCCTATCCGATGATGTTGTTGGTTTGCGTGGGTGTAGTTTGGTTTGCGTGTAAAGGGCCTTAGAAAGTTTGTTTACAAATGCTTTTGTGCCGTTATCAAATGTTATGCCTGACTTCTAAGAATTTAATTGAAATTCCTTATAACTCGTTTTAAATTATCCCCAGAATTCTGTGTATTGTTTTAAGTCCCAGAATCTTGAAGATTAGCTCAGTCGGTAAAGGCGCAGCAATAATGCAAGACCATGCTGGAGGCGGCTTGGTTCGATTCCCGGTCCGATCTAGGAAATTGTCGGCTTGAAAAATTTCTCGACGTATCTGGGTATTTAAAAATTTTAAATTAATCCAGAAATATCATAAAAATACATTAAAGCAATAATATCTAATATTTAATGCTTTTTAAGTTGTTTGATTAGCGGCACCGGTGGTGTAGTGGTAAGCGTGATTGCCTCTCACCCCAGCAGGCCTGGGTTCAATCCCAGTCGGTGCCGTCGGGATGTTTTGAGGCATAACATCTCTGATCACGCCTTCCTTCGGAAGGGAAGTAAAGCCGTTGGTCCCCGGTTCATGAGATGATGGGTCGATAGGTAGGGTTCAGTTGTGGGAGCTGCCTCCCTGGCATCGGTAGCATTGGTGCTCAGCACGGAAAACAAGATCGACGGAAAACAAATCAAGGAAAAAAAAAGTTGTTTGATTGTCTGATAGTTGCCAATAAAAGTAGTAATTTTAAAAGAAATTGATCACATAAAAAATCGAATTATATTTAATGTACATTTTTTAACTGGACTGATCTGAATCTTTAACTAAATCGGTTTTACTATACTTCTAACGGAACCGCATAAAACACAGTTTTGAATAAATAATTTCAGGTTCGAAAAGTTTCACAACTTACAACGAAATTGATCCGAACTTTTCATCAATTTTATCAAAAATGGACACAGCTCCGTGTACATTGTAAAGTGGTGGTAGTTAATAATCTATTCCAATGTATAACTCACTTTAGTCAAAAAATATAATGGGACTGTGAACCCTCATAGCTCATAGCCTCATAGCGGTCCATACAAATAAAACAATGTATGGAGGATTGCCTAATCGGGAAGATTAGAAGGTCTAAAACCTTTCCAAAACGGTATTTTCCATGACAATACGGAGCCAACCATTTAACGTATTTCCAAATATATCTATCATATTAACATCATATTAATATATAAAATCATACTAATATAATATATTTGGTATTTCGGAAGTTTACCATCATCCGCCTGCTGAAGTCTGTTTGAAGTAGTACCGATTTCAAGTAGTTTGCACCTCAGCAGGTTTCTAGTGTAAACAAAGAGAATGAGGGCGATATAATCTGTATTCTTATTTTCTTGCCTGTGAATATAGCTACCCTTGCTTCTTTTGTTAGCATTCCAAATTTGCGAGATCAAAATAATGTAAAATGATCTTTTTTTTTTATTTGCAGTGATGACAATGCTAGTCACCATTATCCATTACCTCACAGCGCTTAAAATAACTCATTCGTTGTTACATAGGCATGAATAGTTCATACGTAATTCGCCTGAATAAGGTGCATCTTATTCCGGTGGACGTGATTTGCACTTAATTTGCCTGACTGAAAGACGTCACTAACCTAGTTTCCTTCTTCTTGTGACGCATATCGTGGAACTTTACGTGGATTTTCAATTATCTATGATGCAAGAATTATTCCTACTCCTGCAATGTCTCCATACACGTGCGCTAAGTTAATCGATTAACTACAGCAAAATATCAAAATTTTAATTCAAACTTAAATTGCGTTTCATTTGATTGGCATCCTTTCAAAGCCACTTCCCACCATGACTGACGAATTTTACACTGCAGACACTAATTTTCCCCATTTTCCAATATCTATTTTTTCATGTGCCCGTCTGACGTCAATCGCCAAATTTTGCCGCCAACAAAAAAAAAACAAACAGCGAAAGCAGCATGTTTGTATCGAAGCGTCGTTGGATACTGAAGACGTGCGGCACGACGACGCCGCTGCAGTGTCTGGAACCGCTGCTACGGCTCGCATCAGAGATCGCCGGTTATGGCGAGATAGAAGATCTGTTCTACTCGCGCAAGAACTTTAAACGGCCGGAAATGCAGGTCTCTCCCCATCGTGGTTTCGAGGAGGAAGTGGCCTTCCTGGATTCATTTTTCGAAGATGGACGCGCCTACAGTTTGGGTGCGATCAATCGCGACTGCTGGCATCTCTACACGCTGAGCCGCGGGGGAGGGGGCTCCGGTAACAAACGAATGCTGAACAACAATAACCACCACAATATGAGCAACGGCTGCAATGCCCTGCAAACAACACATAATATGCTGACATCGTCGACTAAGATGAATCTGATTGAATCTCTGCAGTTACCTGATCCGGATCAGACCATCGAGATACTGATGACCGATCTGGACCCGAAAGTGATGGCTGTCTTTACCAAAGATGTGTGCAACACGGCTTTGGAGGCAACGCAGGTAGTTTCTTAGCTTCCGACTATTTTCACTGTGCAAGTAACAAATTTTTCCATCTTTTGTTTTACCAGAAATCGGGTATTCATAAGCTTATCCCCGGGATGGCCATCGATGATTATCTGTTCGATCCTTGCGGATATTCAATGAACGGAGTTTCCAAGAGTGTAAGTATAGTACAGAGCTAGTAAACTAAGAACTTCAACACTCCATTGTCGCTGGGTAATGGAAATACTAATTACATTTTGCACTTTTCTGCTCCTTTTTCCATTGTCCTTCTCTACATTTGCCCGATCGTCCTGCGGGTTCTGTGCAATATTTACCTTCCATATGTTGTAACTTTCACCAATCTGATTGCTTTTTAAACACGGGCTCGAATCAATCCATGCGGTATGCGGGTTGGGTGGAGTAGTGTGGAAAAAAATATAAAGAGGTAAGCTAGAGTTGAGCTGTGTAGCATTTTTTTTTATTTGTTTGTTTGTGACAGAAATGAAAAATTAATGAGCTTGCAGCATGTACATATAGCTACACGGTATAGTTTGCCTGCTTTTGCCTTTTGTAATTTGATTTTCCACACTCCGTTTTCATCTGTAGAAAGTTATTTAGTGATCCCAAGATAGAACTAATGCCAAAAGAATAATAGTTTGCCATTTTACATCTTACATCATCCCATCAATTTTGCACGTTTTCTCAATTCCATGCTTTTCTTGAGTGTCCTTTATAAACTTACTTTAATTTCTCCACTGCATGGATAAAGAAGTTCAGATGAACGGTTGTTGATATTGTACTTCGAAGAAGAAGGCGGACGAAAGTAGCAATTTAGCACGATTCTATTTATTTTATGGCACAACACGTGTTATCCTTGGCCTTTGAAGGTCGAGCAGGTTGCGATTCATGAGTTGAGTAGAAAGCAGCACCCAGGGTGTGGCCATCCACCAGGAATTCCGGGAAAAACCCGGAAAATTTTCCTCGAACAAAAAAAAAATCATTTATTTGATTTATCGTATTTTAAACTGTTAAACTTGCCACATGAGTTTTTAGCACTTTTGAATGGAACACTGTCTTTCTTTTACTCTGTTACAAAATGAAAGAAGAGATGCAAGAAGCACAACATGTAAGTGGACCGTGCACTGATCTATAACTGTATGGTTTATCCTAAAGCACATAAAAGCTTGCAAAAATGTGTCGTATGTTTATAGCTTCGACTGTCGTATTTAAGGTCAATTAATTTTGATGCGTTTTCAAAAATTCTAACTTAGTTTTTTAACGCATCACTTCAGAAAAGTAGTCATCACCGTTAGTAAAATGGTCGACTGGATGGATGATGAATGATGGATGCTTGATTTCTTTTTATCAGCAGCTGTACTGCCGCTCATCGCAAGTCGCGTTTTTGTCAAAACTGAGTTTTTCAATAGAAATAACTAATCACCCATGTTTTTTTGTTATAATACTTGATGAACTCAACAACTTTGTTCAGGAAAAGTTTGGAAAAACAGCTAAATACGAAGCAAACTTTAAATGCGTTTTTCTCGGCTTGTTTATTTGTGCTATGGGATGGACATGCCATGAGCGGCAGCGTATCTAGAATCGTTACTTAAGGAGATGCCTATGTCCTATGCAAACACTATACGACACAAACGATGCCACAAATCGTGCCACCGTACCACATATTGTAGGGATGATAACCCGAATAGGTTGTTAGGCACTCCTTATGGTTATCGTTCATGCGGGTGTTTCAAAGCAATTTACATCTAATCAACCCTCTGTGCGACCCAACCCGTGCAACGTATTTAATGTTGAGAGCCTTGTGTGCTTTATCATGAGTGGTCACGGATCTGGCAATCTTCACATGACTATGCGAGTACTAGAATAGATCGGAGTATACTTACAGTTTTCGACGTTCCCATGTACTCCTTGTTTACCTTCAATACTACTTCCTTCTCTTGTTGTATTGTGTTCCTGGATATGCCACTTCCATCATCCCTCTGACACAAGATAATGGATCCTCGCTCTGGAATGTCTTCGAAACTGGGGGGATTAAAATCGATCCTCTTGCACAACCCTTCCAGATGACCGAAAGAGCGCTCGGTCCGTTATATATTTGATATGGTTTGTAATGTGACATAGAAAACCACAAAAAGAGAAAACCGTAATATTAGCAATAAAACAAAGAAAATAAGCGGAACACTGCATAAGGTCCCAAGCGACACCGACAGACTCTTTCCATCGATCCCTGCATCCCTGCATCGCCACGGCCACGAAAAGATAGTTTCAGCCATTTGCAACACACAATTCGATATGTGCAGCTATTATCCAGCGCATTAAACGGAAAACACAAAAAGAAACGGTTTTTTAGCAAAGTTATTAACAAAGGAGCAAATCGATAAAGAGCCTTGATCAATGTCACCTAGGACCCCACGCACTGCTCAGCTTGTATAAACAATATCACATCACTAACCCATTTCCGTATCATTTCGGCAATCATACAGTCATCGAAATGAAGGGTTGGTACAACAATTTGGGAAAACTTAATGATGTGATATTGTCACTGTGGAACTAGCACTTAGCTTCAGGTCTTTACAAGTAAGAACCTTTACTGACCCCTAGCACGTCAAGCCCAATGAGGTACAGAGAGAGGTGAAGCAGATCGTGAAATATTGTTGTATTAGTAAACCAAAAAATCAACGTAAACGCAAGTAGTGACGTCACTAATTGTTTGTATCGTACAGGAGTTTTACTCACACAACTTAACCGATTGCTTCACCTCTGTAAGCCAGCTCATTGCGTCAAGCCGACCAGTTCAGCGCAAGGGAATATTTATTTACAGAAGAATTTTAAACTTAACTGTTTTCCGCCACTTTTCATTAAAATCTGATTCAGATCAATCCATTGAAGGTGCAAGATCTAAATGCTTATGCATCATTCCAAAATATAATAATTATATATTAAATGAACCTACACTAATTTTTAAATACAAAAATATCATTGCTTATTTTTATCAGTGCAGTTTATTTAAGGTTATTGAGGTAAATGCATATTCGTATTCTACATGAAAAAAGGAATCGAAATCCAAAATTTCATCAATTTTGGTACACTGGAACTATTTACAATAAGTGCGATTACATTAGCAAAAATCACCATATTAGCGCCCCTCGGTTAGAGTTTGTATAGGAGTGAGCTGTCAATTTGTTAGTTTAGTGAAGTTATCATTTTGCTTTAAATCTTGATTTAAAAATCGAGATGAAAGTCGATGGGTTCGAAAAAATTATAATGCTGCAGGGGAAATAGCTCTAATGTTGGCCTATGGATCTAAGATTGGGCCCATTGCTAAAAATCTAGTATTTATCAAATTTTATTTAGATGAACCAGTCTCATTGCGGTAAATGTAGGGAAACATCAAATTAGCATTCAGACCTGGCGTGTCCAACATTTCCAAACTTGCTTTTTTAAATGACTGTATGTTGAGCGGTGTTGTAGTGGTAAGCGTGATTACGTCTCACCCCCAGCAGGCCTGGGTGCAATCCCAGTCGGCGCCGCCGGGATGTTCTGAGGCTGATCACGCCTTCATTCGGAAGGGAAGTAACGCCGTTGGTCCCCGGTTCATGATTTGTCGGGTCGATAGGTAGGGTCCAGGTGGCTGGAGCTGTACAGAGGTCAAGTTCGGCACGCGGGTTGCAGAAGTTGGGCAGCGCTGATCTAGATGTTTCATTCTCTCACGCACTTATGGGATAGTGAGAACAGCAGGCCCATTTCATCCCGTCCGTCAAAATGAATTTGTATCAATCCTTATAACAAGCTGCTTGCTTCCGTAGTTCTCCCGATTTCTCATTCTATCACACTCGTACACACTTTTCATTCTTTGCAAAGTTTCCGCTAATAGGTACAGTCACTCCAGTATTATGGACCAGCTAGTCACTATTATGCGTCAGTCAGTTCTGCGTTGTAATAAAATGGAAGTGGTCCATAATTGTGGGTGACCCACAATACTAGGGTGACTGTACTTATCGGATCTGTAGAAGGTAGAATTACCAATGTTTCCATTCCATGATTATCCCTTCGATTCTTTACCCTTCATTGTACATTGATGTTGTTATTACATTCGCTAGTTTCATATTGATGTTCGATTGTCGTTCACAGGGATGCTACATGACGATCCACATTACTCCGGAGCCCGATTTCTCGTACGTTAGCTTCGAGAGCAACATCGCCTCCTCCAGCTATGGAGATTTGATTGCACGTGTGATTGAGACCTTCCAGCCGGGAAAGTTCATCGTGACTGTTTTTGCTAATAAGGTAAGCTATTAGGGGTATTAGCGGGCTGAAGGTCCGCCTTGCTCGATTATTGCTACTGTTGCTATTTGAAAACAACGACTAAATCCTCATTTTATTTGATGCTTCTATTCGTCCCTAAATGGGGTAAATAAAAACACTAACCAGTAAACCTAGCAAACCACGTATTAAAAAATAAGTGATAATATGATAAATACCTGATGCTGAATAAACTAACTGTTACAGTACGCGGACAAGTTATGAATCAAGAGAAAATGACTTAAACAGGTGAAGTTTTTGAGCACTAACAAACACTTGCAACTCAAAGCTCCACTTTGTGAAATTTATGGAAAAAATTACAACAGTGCTGCCAACACAACAATAGCTTGGTGGAACTCTTTCAATATCTAAGTAACCAAGAAACATGTTTTTAGATCCTTTTTCAAGACAATCTTAGCATAGCAGTCAGGGTGGCCAGACCTACCGATTTATCGGTAGTCCTACCGATTTTCGGGATCCCTACCGATTCACAGACGAAGGGTTAAAAACTACCGATTTTTCACTTTTCCTACCGAGAATCACAGATTTTTTGTAATCTTGAAAAATGTTCAATACCAATGTTTTGTTTTCCGTGTAGTCAGAACTAGCATTAGAATTATAAATATTGATTTCGACTAGTTTAAAGCAGAATAACTAAAGGACAGTATATTTTTCTGAAGCAGAGTCCCCCCCCCGCTCACAAAGGTTTCAAGTATCGGAAAAACCTTCTTAAGATGGCCTACCGATAACTACCGATAAACGTTTTGAGAAGCTACCGATAATGAAAAAAAATATCTGGCCACCCTGATAGCAGTCATATTTTCAAGGGTGAGAAGTTTTGTTTCTTCTCGCTCCACTACTTCTATTAACCCCGTTTTACAGTATAACCGCAATGCCCGTTTCAGCATAGTTGTCCCATTCGTTAAAACAGCAAGCTGAGAAAAACGCAGTTGAAAAAAAATCTCAATGGGCTGGATATGGACAACATAGTTTTGGTATCTTCCGCGACATTTTCTGAACAAAATAGGACATTTTTTGTGTATATTGTAAAGTGATGGTACTTGGCAATCGGTTCCAATCAGCTGGGTGGTATGCCGCCATGTTATTGAAACCAACACCTGAAACGTCACAATTCAAGTGTGAACTGCAAAAATGGCGTGACTGAAGTTTCTTATTTTTATCAAATGAAATTATTTTCATTTTTATGCCATATAAATGGTTGACTTAGTGGTAGAAAATCAGAAAATAATGTTTTATGAGTTCTAAGTTTATTTTTCACAAAATGTAAGCAAAAATATTAAGAATATCTAAAATATCAGTCACGCCTTTCTTGAAATTCTGGCTTGAATCTTCTACTTGTTTACAAATTATGAGCTGTCAGTGGGGCCCACGATTCGCGGGCCCGCAGCGATGTTAGCTCTTTTCAAGGCAAGGCAAACAAGATAGGGCTGCCACCCAGCTGGTTCCAATGCATAACTCATTTTCGAAAAAAAAAAAAAAACTAATGGTACTGTTAGTTATGCGCAGGCATGGAAAATCATTTGCATTCATTTCGTGCATTCATTTACATTCATTTGCCTCTAACTTTTTTCTTCAACAGCATTCCGCATAATGATGTATAGAGCTTTTGTAGGTTTTGTTATTAGCTACAACTTTTCTTAACAAGTCAAATCCGTTTCTCTTATGCATGATGAACCAGAGCGAACAGAAGCCACTACTGTTTTTCAGTGAATGTATTTTACATTCACTGAAAAACAGTAACAAGTTCTGCCCGCTCTAGTTTGTGATGCATAAAAGATACAGATTTGAATTATGAGCAAAAGTTGTAGCTAACAAAACCTACAAAAGCTCTTTACATCATTTTGCGGAATGCTGTTGATGAAAAAAGTTAGAGGCAAATGAATGTTAATGAATGTACGAAATGAATTTAAATGATTTTTCATGCCTGGTTATGCGGCACAGGACAGTGCAGCTCATTTCCAAGATTTTGATATTGCATAAAAAAACTAAAAGGGACAGCCCTATGGGGTTGTACGCAATGGTGACGTAGGACTACGTGGCCTTATATAATAAATGTTATAATATGTATGTTATATAACTGCAACAGGAGCTTGTGTTTTGTGTAGGGATATGAATATCAGCGGGATTCTCTCTGTTTATACTCTTTAGTATGACTATGATTGCTCTGAAAAAACCTTTTGATATGAATTTTAGTTGGGACATGTTAAGAAATTTAACACTTTTGGAAAATCTTGGTGGCTCTGAAAAGGGCCGATGGTTGCACAGGCTTAAAGCTTTTGGAAGATGATGATGTCGTGTAGGCAGCTCAATCAGCAAATCGGACCGAACAGTCCCATATTCTCCGGTTCAATGATTGGGCACTCGCTTGTCTGCTGATGAACAGGGGTTGAACTGGTGTCTGCGACAGGTTAGAAGGCCGCAGCATATCAGTGTTCACCCAGCTTAAGCTCCTCCCCTTTTAAGTTTTTCTCGTTAAACTCCTTCTCTCAAAAAGTTGGTAAATCTTAGCCTTTAGCAGAAAGACGCTTAACACTTTTTTCGACGATTTTATGATTCTGTTTCACGCCATGGTACTTCTCTGTGCCTGTTCAAATAAATTAGTACTTTTATTTATTTTCTCTACTGCGGTTAATCAAACGAGTAGAAATAAGAAGGGATGTCGGTTACGCGCTCGAATATTTAATCGAATAGTTGTAAAAATCTTAACGATTAATCTCTAATAATTGGACTTCTAGGCATCCCTAGAAAATAGTGCAATTTCATGTTTTTTGGTGGTCCTTCGAAAATGTCGAACAACAGAATTGTAACCAGCAAGTGTAAAGGGCAACCCACATTAGATCCGTTTGCGTTGCGTTGACGTAAATTTGACAGTTAGACAATAGATTTAGCTGTCACTTTGCCGCGACGCGTCCCATCCGGATCTAATGTGCGTGGGCCTTAACCTATGAACCAAAAGCGGTGCGATGCTAGTTTTCATATCTATAACGACGACTGAATTAAGGGCCAGGGGTGAAAGTCAATTCTCTTCATCGATTTCCTCTTTTGATGACCAGGGTTGCTTCCACTCACTTGCTATAAATTTTTTTTCTGAATTTTAAAATCATTAGATGTTATAATGAAATTTTGTACTTGTTAGATACAGGAAGAGGTTGAAAGGCAAGTAGACTCATAAAACCTGTCAATTTCGCTACCAGTTACAATCAGCGATCTTATGATTCGTGAGCGTTCACTCAGAGTGAGCGCTCGCGAGTAAAAAAATCGCTGATTGTGACTATCTGAAAGCGAATTTGACAGGTTTCATGTTGTTTGACACATTGCCTTTCAACCTCTTCTTGTATCAAACAAGTACAAAGTATGATTATAGCAGCTAATGATTTCAAAATTCAGAAAATCATGTTTTTATAGCAAGTGAGTGGAAGCAACCCTGCATGGCTTCACTAACCTATTTCGCATTATTTCTGCTATGCTCTTCTATCATTCAGAACAATGAATGTATCAAGTAATGTGTTCGCCGTCGAGTTATTAACGAAACAGAAAATCGATGAAGAGAATCGATCAAAATCATTTACGCCCCTGCTTCCAAGTTTGGTTACAAGATTACAACTCTTGAGAGCATTATGTGTGATCGTTGGGGGTGTGTGGTTCTGAATATGGCGATTAGTGTGCAAAATGTTACGCAATTGCATCCTCCCTATTCGTACACGCTCGAAGATCGTCACTTCGACTTGTTTCGTCTACTAACGACTCTCTGATGACAGTGTTGGGGAAGCAGCAATGCTTCATCGACATGTTTCGTCTAGAAACGATTCTCTAATGACTGTGTTGGGGAAGCAGCATATGCATGTACGTAATTGGTGGATTTGTTAGTTATTTCGACGCTTTTGGACGATGCTTGACATTTACCACTTTTTCAATAGTTACTTGTGTTATAACAGTAGAAGCATTGTTATCGATGCGTAGAAATATCTCTTATCGATTGGTGATAAAATTATTGAAATTGGTCCAGGAGGAGCTGAGTTATTAACGTTCAAAATCTTTCATAATTTCGTTACATGTTCCATTTTCGGTTTTCACAAAGTGTACCCCCATATAGAAATCACAGACGTAGTCCTACGTCAAAAAACAAAAACTCCCACTAAGTAAAGAAAATCCTAGATACCATCCATGAAGCAAGACTCTGGAGCTTTGAAGAATTGGATTCTTCAGAGTTATTCATAAATTACCGCAACCGCAATCTGCATTTAAAAATGGGCTAAAATTGAGAATTTCGATTATTTTGCTAAAATTGATGAATTTATAATATGTGTGATTATTTTAGCCGGTTTTAGACGAGGTGGTCAACATTCATGTGAAAGCGAATACAGAAAGTTGCACAGCGACCAACTTTCCGGTCGTTCATTGAGTCAGATCAAAGTTCAACGCCGACTTGAATCGTTTGAACCGGACATTTTAGTTTCAAGACTCAATCATCTGCAGCTGCCAATTAAGAACTGATTTGTTAACGATTTACTTTAACTATCAGACTGTTTACATTCTAAATTAAGTTGCATCACGACATTCTAGAAGAGGTTGTAACACATAGTTTGACTTATAAAACCTGTCAATTTCGCTTTCAGAGCGATTTGACGATTCGTGAGCGTTCACTCTAAAAAAGCGCTCACGAATCGTTAAATCGCTGATTGTGACAATTTCTGGACTGTTGTTGATGTTCAAATGATTCCAAGAGAGCATCTCAATTTTATTTTAGAAGACTTCTGAAAAAAATCTGTGAACGGAAATGAGTCTAATGGGAATGCTTTAAAACAATCCATTAAATTCCTGTACAAAGTTTTAAGGCAGTTAAAACACAAACACATTTTGAATGATGCAGCAAAAATGCTGCCTTAATAATGTTAGTAATTACTCATTTATCTTAGTAATCTCTTCGGCTCAATCGCATTTGGTTGTATGCTTAATTTAAATGTATTGCACAATCGGGAATATTAAAAAAAAAACTCCGCGGGAAAAACCGGGAAATTGCTAATTGTTATTTGCTGGTCACCATGGGTAAATCGATGTATTCATGGTCGTGCGGTTAGTGGCGTCGCGTCACGTTCTTCAGGCGTAATGTCGAGCATGATTGACCGCCCACGGACCGTACTCCGCTATTCCCAAATCACGTGTACTTACCCAGAGAACCAACAGATATGCTAGCATACATTTTAAATGTGTAAAAACTGGTGATCTCAAACTTTACAATAGGCCATATCAGCGCTGGCTGCATCCGAATGCAGGTCAATTAAGGAATGTTTTGATATGATACTCGCTTTGTTGGAACACGATAAATTCTCCACGATGAATAACTGGGATGTTGGATAAAAGGGTTGGGCTTACAGCGGAGTTCGTTGCTAAACGGTACGCTGAATAAAGTGGTTCATGTTAGAAAAGAAACCGATGAACAACTCTTGATTGTGAATGCGCCTGAGATTGAACCCATGATCTTACTCAGTAAGCAAAAACGGTCGCTCTAGGCCACCATTCTATAGGAAGCTTATTAAGTATTGCTAATTGCGTTATTCGATTTGTATTGTTGGAAGGAGATTCTTAAATTCCCGTGGATTTCGCGTAAGTGCCTCTGTTTACGGGTCCATCCCTCCGTTTTTGGTATCGGTAGCTCAAATTGATCTTGCATACATACATACATCCTTCTGAAAAAAGTCTGTGAACGGAAATGAGTCTAATGGAAATGCTTTAAAACAATCTACGTTCAAATTATGTGAAAAACTACGGACATTCATAATGGAAAATGTAAAAACAACATCAAGTTAGTTTGTCCCATCAAGCAAAGTATTCGAAATTCAGTCCCAGCCTGAAATTCAATCGTCCAGAGGTCAAGTTATAGTTCTGTTTTTTTAATTGCCATATTTTTAACTGATTTAACAAAACATGCCAGCCTCATTGCAACTGATTTTAATTTGCAAAAAATATCTATACATTTAGTATTATTTTTTTTTCAAATATTTAAATGGGAATTGCACTTTGGCTGCCATTTTCTCAATACCTACTTTTTCCATATGGGACTGATATAATAGGCAAATTATTGAATTGCCTTTTTTTTAATATTGTATTTCTGAAACTCGCCCAAATAGTTCGAAATGTTGAATGTACCGCGGATGTCCATTCTGATGAAAAAATTTCTGACCACGAGCCTTTCTCCCTCAACAGACCATGGGGTTATGAAAAACATAAGCATACTAATCAGTGATTCTATTTTTCCCTCTTCTCTTTTGCAGACATCTCCAGCAGCGAATGTATCCCGTGAACTCGAGCATCTGGGCACTATTGATCAATGGAAGCGTCGCGATATTCAGTTCTCGCGTTTCCCGACATACGATCTGACTTACGCTCAGTACTGCAAATACCCAAGCTGAGGTTTACCGTGCCTAGCCCTCGAAGGGGCTAACCCTGTTTCCCCGCTCCCGTCCTCTCCCGCTCCTCCCAAAACCAACGTTTTCATCACCCGTCCCTCCCCCTTTTCCCTGTCCTTGTCCTCTTCGATGGCTTTGTTCCGTTTGTTCTTCAACATCTTCCCGGTGCTGACTTCGCTTAGTTTCGCCAAGAACTTCTTCCTCTGTGGCGTTGCTGATGACGAGTACAAGAAGAACAACATTATAAACAACAACAACAATAACAACGCCAACCAAACGAATGAGAAAGGGAAAATGATCAACGATATTGACAAATCCAGCATGACATACTTCCAACAGATGAGCGATAAAAATGACGACAATTTGGTAAAGTTGTGCGGTCAGTTGAAAAAGCTTCTGGATCTGCCGGCTGTCTTGTTCTCCATCATACTCATTCAGCTGATTTCATTCGTGCTTGTTTTGAACATCGAGGAATGCTCGCCGCTAGTTTTATTCTCCTGGTGGCGTAACAAGATCTCCTGAAATTGACTACCACGTGGCAAACGAGCGGCAAGCGGCCAGTACTGTTGCTTCCTTCCGTTCTGATGCCTTTCTTGATTTTCACTTTTACCGTTATTATTGTTGCTTTGATAATAACACATTATCGATCATCACGCGTTTGCGTTCCGCTCCGCGTTTGCGAAGCGAAGCTTTTCTAGATGATTTCTTCAGTCGATACTGTGGTGATGATGTTCGGTTCGTCGCTGACGACCAGTCGGTTACTGGCCCATTGCTAGTGACCGTCGTTATCATCGTTGCAGTGACTGTATGCGATCTGCGTACACGAACTCTGTCATCTTTTGTTCCGTTCAGTATCTGTGACATCAAGGTGAAAAGAATGAAGGAGACCTCTGTGAAGAAATACAAAGAAATAATACAAGCAATTTACAACAACAGCCGGTGGTGGAGTGCGTTCTCTCTTGATCAGTTAATCTACAATCAACAACAACAACAGCAGCAGCGACAGCAGCAACAGCTAGGCGTAGAATTCGTTCAATGTAACCAGCACCACCGAGAGAACCACCACCGAGGTAGCACACATTTTAATACCTTTTACAAAACAATCGCATTTGATAGCAACCAGTTACTCAGTGTTGTAGATTTCCATTTTACCGTTGGTAACATTCGAATTGTGCAGAATAAGAAGATCCTAGTTGAAAGTATAATATTCGCCTATCTAATATCATTGGATTTATATTCGTAGCAAAACGGAAACGTTCAGATCTGAAATCAGCACATTAAATTACACAACAAACAAACAAGAACATAACACACACATACTTTGGATAACCGACATTTGAACAAAAGGAAACCAAGTATTTTAGCAAACAAACAAAATCAACCTTAATCAAAGCAAAGTTGTAGTATTTTATATCCCAATTTCCTTCCTCAGCCAGTTCTCCTCGAAAACGCTTCCTGAATCCCTTCCCACCATCCCTGATTCAAATAATGATGATATATAAATCAAACGTCTTACAACAGGACGTTAAAAGAGAAAATACATGATGAATTTTTCAAAACACATTAAATGTACTACATCATAAACAAAAGCAAGAACGCTGAAAAGCCGACTAAATAATAAAAGAATGATAAAAAAAAAAACAATTATATAACTAGCATGTAAGAACAAACCAGAAAAGGGATATGAAATGATGGTTCTAAAAATTCACCTTTATGATCGATGAAGCGCGAAAGCGTTAAAACAGTAGACAGAAGGTTTAAACATTGATTGAATATTTAAAGCTCATTGACATTTCCTTTCAAGCAAATAAGAAGGCTAACTATGGTAATTGAAATAGGGATACAAACTATTTCCAATTTAGCGTTAGGTGAATGATACTACCTAATTAGGCTGTTAAGTTCTAAAATAGCGCGCAAAGCGTTAAATATGAATATATATTTTTCGACAGCATACACATTATTGGTTTGGAGGTAAGATTAAGCAAGAAAAAGACGGTATACTGGGACGATAGCTAGCGCTTGATTAAAACTGGAAATAGTTGGTAGTTATTTTTTTTAAATTTAGAACCCAATTTCCATGTCAGTTCCGCACAAAGCATGTGCTTCATTTGATTTTTTTTATTCCTTCCGTTTAAGCTGATACATTTGTTTTTAATTGCGTTATATCGTAGTACTTTCTACTTTCTAGTTCTAAATATTAAAAATATATTATATTAAACTTCCATTATGGGTATCCGGGAATATATGTGTCATGATGTTTCCTCTTAATCCGAACATTCCTTCACTGCGATGCCAAAAGGTTTAGTTCACTAGATGTATGACTACATACCTCTTGCGAAAAAGTGTAACGGGGTAACCTGTACGATTGCCGTATACTCTCTAATCAAGTGTTCGAATCGTAGGGGAACAAGGGGCAAGTGTGCCACCTTAAGCGTTTTCGATCTGAAAACATTCATTTTGTTAAAAAAAAAAATATGTATCAGCAGCTGGTACGTTTATTTGTGGATCGTTGCTTCGAAGTCATCGCTCTCACTGTGACTTGGCTCGATACTCGCACATTGTCAAATCAAGTGTTTGGTTCCGAATACGAGATTTTTCGATGCGATCGGAATCCGCACAACAGCCGCAAATATACTGGTGGAGGCGTTCTCATAGCGTTCGGCTCTGGATTGAAGGCAACAGTTATCGAAAACGATACACGGGATGGAATTGACCACTTTGTCAAGCAGTTTTGGCGTGACTTCCTACCAGCGATTCCATAACACTGGATCAACTAATTTCTATTTTTTTATGAAACGCAGAAATGATGGCTACTTTTCTCGTGGTTCTTGAAGAAAAAATCTCAAAATAATGTTTTATTTCAAAGTTCGAAAGGTAGTAAACGTCATTTAACTGCTCGAATGAAGTGGTTAATTGTGTGGAACAAGTTTGGATTGCCATTAAGCGCGCTGACCGCACTTTGTTTTTGTGTGTAGTTTACTTTCCTCCGGATCGAACTCGCGACTCTACGCTAATTGAATCCCACAGTCAGTCTATTCGAGCTATAATGGAGATCGCTACAGCTGCTGACGAGATGATAATCATTGGTGACTTCAATCTACCGGCAGTTTCTTGGCGATCATCTTACGGTGGATTTCTGTATCCAGACCACGACCGTTCTACATTTCACTCTGGAGCTGTAAACATTTTGGATCATTACAGTATCGCCAATCTGAAGCAAATCAACCACGTGGTTAATGAGAACAATCGTAGCTTAGACCTTTGCTTCGTCACCGCTCAGGTACTGCTCCGCATTTGTCTATGGCTATTCCTCCGTTGATAAAGACTGTTTCACACCATCCTCCTTTAGTTATTGCACTTGATGGCAACCAAATTCTGAGGTCATTCCTCAGGGATAACTAGGGCGGCTTCGCAACTGAAGTCTTCATTTAAGCCTGGAACTGACGGAGTTCCTTCCGTCTTTCTCAAGCAACACATCGATAGCTTGGTGGCTCCTCTCTGCCTTCTGTTCGAAAAGTGGGGTGTTTCCTTCCTGCTGGAAATCAGCGGAGATGTTTCCAGTGCATAAGAACAGGCTTGCAATTGCTTATTACAGCTAAAATGCTATTTTTCGTTATTATGAAACAATGGGATACTATGATGATAATTTTTATTTGTAAGATGCAAGAAGCGGTGGTAATGATTGTATATCTATCTATCTATCTATCTTCTATCTTCTATATATATAAAAATGAATTTCTGTCTGTCTGTCTGTCTGTCTGTCTGTCTGTCTGTCTGTCTGTCTGTGTGTCTGTCTGTCTGTCTGTCTGTCTGTCTGTCTGTCTGTCTGTCTGTCTGTCTGTCTGTCTGTTTTTTTTTTTTTTTATAGTAAGGTTTAGGAAAGCTTCAAGAAGCCTGGCCTGTAGTGAAGGTGGCACGGTGTGGTATCCACTAGTTGCCTAGTGCAGCTCCACTAAAACCCATTCCTTACTCTCTCCTCTGCCTGGATCCCCCCGGGACCACTGTGAAGCGACTACTTCGGGGGGTGGCTGTGCTCATGCACTTGTCGTACTCTCAGCGCTAGCTGGCGTTGCTAGATCGCTGCTCTTCTCTCCATTTACGCTGCAGCTCTGACATAATCTGTGTGACTGCCCTGCTGACGGCATTCCAAGAGTCCTCCTCTCGACACATTTCATCAACGACATTCTCCACGTTAAGGACGGGCATCTCCGTTCGCACTGCCTCGAACCTTGGACAGTCAAAGACCACATGCTCCGGCGTTTCATCGACGTTGCCACACTCCGGACAGAGGGGTGACGCTGCGTGTCCGAACCGATGCAGGTATTTCCTGAAGCAGCCGTGGCCAGACAGGAACTGCGTTAGGTGGAAATTGACTTCTCCGTGTTTTCTGTTCACCCAGGTCGAAAGAATCGGTATTAGTCTATGTGTCCATCTACCGTTCTCCGTCGTGTTCCACTCCTGTTGCCACTTAGCCAATGACTCCACTCTCACAACTTTCCGTACTCTTCCGGCTTCCCTCTGCCTGTAGCACTCGCTGTCCTCCGCCAGGGTGATGCCGATAGGGATCATACCGGCGATAACGCATACTGCTTCCGACGAGATGGTTCTGTACGCACTCACGACTCGCATGGCCATGAGCCGGAACGTACTGCTCAGTTTCCTTTGGTTCTGCTTCGTTTCCAGCGCTGCAACCCAGGCTGGACCTCCATATCTCAGTATCGATGATGACACGCTGGCCAGAAGACGCCTCTTGCTACTGCTGGGACCAGCGTTGTTCGGCATGATTCTAGCTATCGCGTTGATGGCCTTCGAAGCCTTCTCACAGGCATATTCGACGTGGCTGTTGAAGTTTAGCCGGTCATCGATCATCACTCCCAGGTATTTTAACACACGCTTCGAGGCTATGGTGTGCTCCCCGACGGTGATTTCTGCCCGCTGTACCGCTTTACAGTTACTGACCAATAACACTTCCGTTTTGTGGTGGGCTATTTGCAGCTTCGCTCCTTTCATCCAGTTACCAATCATGTCGATTGCCTCGGTTGACAACACTTCCACCTCTTCCAGCGTCTCGCCTGTTACCGTCAAGACGACGTCGTCCGCAAAGCCAACGATCTCAACTCCTTTGGGCAGTTTCAGCGTTAGCACGCCGTTGTACATCCCGTTCCAGAGCGTTGGACCTAGGATGGAGCCTTGTGGAACTCCCGCTGTGATCCTAATCGATCTCTGTCCCATGTCTGTCTCGTAGACCAGAACCCGGTTCTGGAAATAACTCCTCAGGATCCTGCACAGGTAGTCAGGGACCCTCATTCTATGCAGTGCTTCGGTGATGGCCTCCCAGCTGGCGCTGTTGAACGCATTCTTGACGTCGATCGTTATCACGGCGCAATATCGATCTCCTCTCCGCTTCTGTTTGGACGCCTTTTCAGCTCTCTCGACCACTGTCCGAATTGCATCCACCGTCGATCTCCCTTTCCGGAATCCGAACTGCCTCTCCGACAATCCGTGCTCACTCTCCGTGTATTTCGTCAGCCTGTTTAGGATGATCCTCTCCAAGAGTTTTCCGAGTGTATCCAGCAGGCATATAGGCCTGTATGATGCTGGATCCCCCGGCGGTTTTCCTGGTTTCGGCAGCAACACTAGCTTCTGTATCTTCCACCTGTCAGGGAAGTGACCCTCGTTCAGGCATTTCTGCAGCACCATCCTGAACATGTCCGGGGATGACTGGATCGCCGCTTTCAACGCTACGTTGGGGATTCCATCCGGACCGGGAGCTTTCTTCACCTTCAATCCTTTCGCCACTACTACGAGCTCCTCGTTGGTGATTTCGACGTTATCTCCCTCTCCTTCTCCGTACGGTGTAGGTGGCCAGGTTGTTGGGTCGTGCTTCGGGAAAAGTCCTTCCACGATGACTTTCAGCTTCTCTGGGCACATTTCAGCGGGCATCGTTGGACCTCTGATCTTCGCCATCACGACTCGGTATGCGTCGCCCCAGGGGTTGGCATCAGCGTCTCGACACAGCTCCTTAAAACAGTTCGACTTGCTCTGCTTAATCACTCGTTTAAAAGCGGCCCTGGCCGCTCGAAACACTTCTCTTCGTTCCTCTCTGTCTGCTTCCGTTCTTGCTCTCTGAACACGTCTTCTGGCTCTGAGACAACTGTATATCTATCTATCTATCTATCTTCTATCTTCTATAAATGAATTTCTGTCTGTCTGTCTGTCTGTCTGTCTGTCTGTCTGTCTGTCTGTCTGTCTGTCTGTCTGTCTGTCTGTCTGTCTGTCTGTCTGTCTGTCTGTCTGTCTGTCTGTCTGTCTGTCTGTCTGTCTGTCTGTCTGTCTGTCTGTCTGTCTGTCTGTCTGTCTGTCTGTCTGTCTGTCTGTCTGTCTGTCTGTCTGTCTGTCTGTCTGTCTGTCTGTCTGTCTGTCTGTCTGTCTGTCTGTCTGTCTGTCTGTCTGTCTGTCTGTCTGTCTGTCTGTCTGTCTGTCTGTCTGTCTGTCTGTCTGTCTGTCTGTCTGTCTGTCTGTCTGTCTGTCTGTCTGTCTGTCTGTCTGTCTGTCTGTCTGTCTGTCTGTCTGTCTGTCTGTCTGTCTGTCTGTCTGTCTGTCTGTCTGTCTGTCTGTCTGTCTGTCTGTCTGTCTGTCTGTCTGTCTGTCTGTCTGTCTGTCTGTCTGTCTGTCTGTCTGTCTGTCTGTCTGTCTGTCTGTCTGTCTGTCTGTCTGTCTGTCTGTCTGTCTGTCTGTCTGTCTGTCTGTCTGTCTGTCTGTCTGTCTGTCTGTCTGTCTGTCTGTCTGTCTGTCTGTCTGTCTGTCTGTCTGTCTGTCTGTCTGTCTGTCTGTCTGTCTGTCTGTCTGTCTGTCTGTCTGTCTGTCTGTCTGTCTGTCTGTCTGTCTGTCTGTCTGTCTGTCTGTCTGTCTGTCTGTCTGTCTGTCTGTCTGTCTGTCTGTCTGTCTGTCTGTCTGTCTGTCTGTCTGTCTGTCTGTCTGTCTGTCTGTCTGTCTGTCTGTCTGTCTGTCTGTCTGTCTGTCTGTCTGTCTGTCTGTCTGTCTGTCTGTCTGTCTGTCTGTCTGTCTGTCTGTCTGTCTGTCTGTCTGTCTGTCTGTCTGTCTGTCTGTCTGTCTGTCTGTCTGTCTGTCTGTCTGTCTGTCTGTCTGTCTGTCTGTCTGTCTGTCTGTCTGTCTGTCTGTCTGTCTGTCTGTCTGTCTGTCTGTCTGTCTGTCTGTCTGTCTGTCTGTCTGTCTGTCTGTCTGTCTGTCTGTCTGTCTGTCTGTCTGTCTGTCTGTCTGTCTGTCTGTCTGTCTGTCTGTCTGTCTGTCTGTCTGTCTGTCTGTCTGTCTGTCTGTCTGTCTGTCTGTCTGTCTGTCTGTCTGTCTGTCTGTCTGTCTGTCTGTCTGTCTGTCTGTCTGTCTGTCTGTCTGTCTGTCTGTCTGTCTGTCTGTCTGTCTGTCTGTCTGTCTGTCTGTCTGTCTGTCTGTCTGTCTGTCTGTCTGTCTGTCTGTCTGTCTGTCTGTCTGTCTGTCTGTCTGTCTGTCTGTCTGTCTGTCTGTCTGTCTGTCTGTCTGTCTGTCTGTCTGTCTGTCTGCCCTCCCCCTTCTGTAAGGGGGGGCTCCCATACAAATGAAACAGACATTTCTGCATAACTCGAGAACTAATCAAGCAAATGGAACCAAATTAGGCATGTGGGGGCGAGTGTGGGGGTATAAGGAGATAATCATAGGGGGTAGCCCCTTAGATAATAGGGGGGGGGGGCTACGTACAATATAGCATGCTTTTTTTAAATCGGTGCATAAACTCAAGCTAATATTGAATCCCGAGCAAGACCGGGCACACTCAGCTATTGACATATAAAATTTGTCAATTTTGCTTTCAGAAGGTCACAACTATATCGCAAGTCAGTCCCATCTGTAAAAAACTGGAAATGAGAAATCGGCGTTCAACGATTTTTCAATTCACATGATAATTCAAAGCCATATCGATTGGCGGTCAAACTGAGTATCGTAAGAACTATATTGGCCACATCCGGACATGTTCCAGATACCATAGGGGAAGTGGGCAAAATCTGTCTTGACACAAATCTCATGATGCGATGTGTTGTCTAACATATTTTTTTTTCTAATGGAACTGACTTACGGTTACTTTTGGCTGTGGGACAATTTGACTTGGTATTGTTTTTCATTTTTCATGAACAAACCACCTTTTTTCAATAGCACATCTCAAAAAACATAGAAAGATAAACTAAATAATGATGCTAACTCAAAGTTGATAAAAATGCAGATGGGACTGACTTGCGATTGTACTTCCACAAAGTTTCTTGAACTTAAACTCAGTTCCACGAGCTCAAACAAAGCTCCCTTAACTTCTTCCCAATCCCAATTCATTGAACTTATCCGAAGTTCCCTGACCCTCTATTAAGTACATATCCTGAATTTATAAGAAGTTCTACGAAATCGTGGAAAGTTTACGATTTGTCCATAACTTACAAAAAGTAATAGTTCAGCCACAAACAAACAGGCATAACACTCACAAGTTGTTCATCGAACAAGCATTTAACGGTCAATTTAAAAGTATCTCAGTTGATAGTACTGCCACCTGTGGCGCGCATAGTCAATTCCCTTGCGTTTGACATTTACACACTACCGCCATCTGTTCAGCGTACTACCCACCCCAGCTACTCAACAGATGGCGGTAATGTTTTAGCGACGATGTTTTACAATGAGAAATATTCCATGAGTTATGTATGTTTGTCTGTGGTTCAACTATAGGAATTTCTGCCAAGATTTCTGAATTTGTACGTATTTCTTATAACTCAACTGTTTCCTGAACATCTACAATGTTGCCTGAACTTCTTCCAAGATCCACACTGAGGCAAAAGTACTTAAGAATTTCATAACGCATAACTTATGAACCCGGATGATTTTGATTTCATAAGACGCTTATGCATTTCATAAGCGTAACTTATGATTTTCAGAAGCGTCGATGAAGTTATCATTTTTGGATTTGAAGTCAGTTTGTCAAAATGGCGAATCATGGAAGCCTTGTGTTCAACGAACAGAGATTAATCGCAGATTTAATTTCGAATGTACCGGGTGTGTGCATTGGACTATTTCAGCAGGCAAAACTACGCTTAATAGACTTGCTAACGTTGGATGAAGCTTCTTTTTGTTCGCTGTTTTCGAATTACTCGCTTCCATTTGAAATCAACCAAATTTGGAGCTGGGTGCTGGATTGGCGGCAGAGAAATGTAAGTATTTGCATCCTATTTTAAATGATTTATGCTTTTTTAATTGATTTCATTTCAAGCACCTTCAAAACTGTTTGCTAGTGGAAGAAGTTCCAGATTTCGCTAGAAGTGGCCAGCTCCGGAAAGAAAAAGCAGTTATAATCGGAAATCCGATCGATGTAAGTTCTTGTTTCTTATTATTTCCTCGTGTTTTACCCCATTTTGTTTTTTTTTTTTCATTTTCACAGGATCTCCGAGTGTTTAAAGAGGAAATTCAAGAAAGTTATCCATCCGCTGATGAAGATTTCAGCCATGTAAACAAACCAGTTAACGAAATTGATGATTCGAGTGAGTTTGTTCTACCAGCAGCCTCGAGTTCAGCAACCGGAAAGCAGACGACAATCACGAACGCAGCTGTATTTAAGTTTGGAATTACCACTGAAGAGTCAAATTTGGTAGCGGAAAGTGCAGAAAAATTATCTACAGAAAAACTCGAGAAAAGAGGATTATTTTCACTTCGAAGTACTCTCAGTGAGCCTACATCAAATAAAAAGCTTCCTCCAGCTGTACGTACCGTCGAGGTTTTAGAGCCAGAAGTAGCAGAGCATTTTCCTGCGAACAGAAACGTGGAACAAAACAACGTAAGTTATTTTATAATATATTTGACTAAGTTCTAAAAATCTACTTCTTTACTGCTTCTAGGAAAGAGAAGAATTTTTGACATCAGCGAACAGCGAATCACCTCCTTTTCTGTCGCCAAACCATCTCCGAGCTCTTTTGGTAAAAACAGATTATGGAAAACAAGTGTTGAAAGAAGCGACAACGCACAAGCTTTCTAACGCGGGTCAAAAGCTAGTCGTCGACACGGTTGCCCGATTCCATTTATCTTTGGGACGAAAAACCACTGCAGAGTCAATAAACGACCTTAGTGAAGTCATTATTCGCGTTTTTCCCAAAGAATCAAAGGTAAAACTTAGTGAGAATATGACACGATTAAATGATAATGTTTTCAGTGAATGGTGATTTTATTTTTAGACAATTCTTCCGTTTATTATTGACAGTCAAACATCAACGCTAAGGGTTGTACTTGTACACCCTACAAGTAAAAAATTGACGGAAAAACAAATCATTTTATTATAGAAATTAGAATTTTGGATAATCTGGCATCATTTGCATCTTTCATTATTTAAGGATACATACTACCTACCGAAAGCTGATAGATCCAATCCTGGAGGAAAAGTTTTTAGCAGGATCAACTATATTAAACAATCTGAGCGTCAAAGAGCTAAACGAGACAAAGAGCACTTCGCCCCAATTGCCGAAGGAGACATCGAGTCGCAAGAGCTATCAGCAGAAGTGGAAGCAGCAGTACAGTGGCTCACCGTAAACACTGCTCCCTGGACAACTGTTATTGCTTTGTGGGAAGTTAGTTATCACGCCAGGAAGCGATATTTAAAACAATACAGTCGGGCTCAGAAGTTGATTGACGATTACCCACAGCTGCGAGAAAAGTTTGGGTTCCAACTGGTAAACAATTATTTAATTATTCTCAGTATTACATTTAATAACCCAATAATATTGTCTTGCAGCTTGACATCGACTTCCGGAAGCTCAGTTTGGGAAAACCTACAGATCACTCCCGGAAGTGGGAAACACTTTTCGAACCTATAGCACGTTATGCCAGCAAACATGGCAAAGACTCTTCGACAAAGCGCCTCATTGAAGGATTACGAAACCCGACATTTTCGACAGGTAAGAAAATGTCAAAATGGAAATTGTATGTATGATAATTTTAAACTAATCGATTTAGATTACAATAGTTTTGATTACAGATATATTGAAATATCGATAAAAAAATGTCGACTACTGTCGTTTTCGTTTTTGCGGTGTAGTAACACCGGTGTTACATCGCCGTACACCGACAAAATTCAGGGTGTAGCTATCGGTCTCACCTTTGTTAACAAACAAATTATGTTGAGTTGTCAATGACTCGCGCTTATTGCTGCTTACACTACACCGGTGTATTGTAGCAAAAACGAAAACGACATAAGACACTTCTGATGAGTACTCCACTTGACAAGTTTTAGCACGCATTAATGACTTTTGTATAGTAATATTATTTATGTATTTAATTATTTATTTATAGATGTTCACCTACTACAGCTTCTTCACGTGCTAAGTACAGTTCTCGTTCCTGTCAAAGCATCCAAGGGGTTCAAGCCTACCGTAACAGTTGCGCAATCGGATACCTTTCTGTTGGCCAGCAACATAGAATTAGGCCGCATCAAACTAAAGGAAACTCTGGAAATCTATGACAAGCAGAAGATACCTGTAGTGCCGAAATTGATTGTCATTGGAGAAGCTTTAGAAACAGCCTGTGGAGTTTGCTTTGTGGTGTATAAAGCAATTGAATATCAGCTTCCCACAATCACGAAGGGGATCGACGTGTTGTTGAAACTACACATTGTATTTGGTCTGCCTGTTTCTCGGTTGTCCAAGTTGGTTTGGATATTTATAGAGAAATTTGTCTATAATTCAGAGCCTTTGCAAGGAGGATACTTAGCTGTTAACAAGCTAGTGGATTACTTACGAAATCAGCCACAATGATCATCCCATGTTATGTTCCAGCATGCAACACGAAATTCGACACAACTGCTGATTTCTTGCATCACGTAGAGAAAGTTCACAGACTACCCTCGGATAATCACTTCAAGTGTCCTTTCATTGACTGCATCCAAGTTTTCACTCAGTTATCTAGTTTTAAGAAACACATTAAAAAACATGATTTCAGCAAGCTTATTCATGATTCAGCAGAACAAATGGTTCAGGAACCACAATTTCAAATAGATGTACCTACAAAATTAATTAGACTAGAGAAAGAAAAAGTTGTAGAACATGATGTTGCATTAGACAAAAATTTGAAATCCATACAGCAATCAGCAGTACAGTTCACATTGGATATGCATCGGAGAAATAACTTTACAAGACAAGACGTAAGACACATTCAGAAAGCAACAGAAGAATTTTGTACACGATCGGTGGAGAAAATTGAAGCTGTTAAGGTTGACTCTCTTAGTACACAAACTAAATATGAATTAGATAAATACCTAACACAAATCAAGACCGCCTTTCATTTTATTGACACTGATTACAAGTTTTTTGCGCACTTAAATGATTTGAAGTTATATGAAGGTCCAAAGACATTCGTTTTAGAACAAAATGAGGCAAAAGTGTCAACTAATGAGAATGGCAGAACATCTTGTTTGGTATTAAATCCAATAGAATTTCAAGTCCAATCTTTTTTCAAAACAGTTGAAATCCTTGAGAAGACTTTGCAGAATACTCCCTAATAAAAATTGTATGGTTAATTTGCTTAACGACGTGTTCTGGGTATCATCCAAACCATTTGTGGAATAGTTCAATGATTTGGGTTATCGTTCGTTTATGGTTATTTTTTATTAGGGCTGCTAATTTGGAAAAAGCTGACAAGATCACACACTTTGTAAATGGAACTGTGTGGGAGCAAATCAAAGCAAGGTATGTTCAAGATGAGGAAAACTATATTTTACCAATCTGGCTTTATGCTGATGAATTTGAGGTCAATGACCCATTAAGCTCCCACAACAATATAGATTCCGTATGTGGAATCTATTACAGTTTTCCGACCCTTCCTGATGCGTTTAGATCGAAGCTTTGTAACATTCTGGTTGCAGGATTTATCAGAAAAGTTACCATAACACAATCAGGCGTGAACAAACAAGTAGAGAAAGCATTAGAACCGTTCAAAAAACTGCAAAATGAGGGAATATTTTTCAACCTGAATTCGCATCTGATTAAAGTCCGTTTCATACTATGCTTATTTCAAGGAGATAACCTTGGAGTTCACACACTGTTACAAATGTCAACCGGGTTTAACGCAAATTATTACTGTCGTTTCTGTCGCAGGCATAGAACAGATTTACAAAAAGATACCATGGAGTGTGAAGAATGTTTGCGAAACACCATAAATTATGAACAGGATGTAGAGATTGGTAAACACTCGGAGACAAGAATTGCTGGATATTCTGCGTTTAATCAGCTAGCATCTTTTCACGTAATCAATAATCCTAGCGTAGATGCGATGCATGATCTGTATAGTAATGGAGTATGCAAATACGGTTTACTTTCAGCCCTCCATTATTTTGTGTACGAAAAAAGATTTTTTAGTAGGACGACTTTAAACACAAGACTAAATTTCATTAGTAGAACATCAGCTGATGTGAGCTTAAGTCGAATGCCAGATTTCGAAGAAGTATATACAAAAAAGACTAAGGGTAAAAATATAACTGGTAGAATGACGGCATCAGAAATGAAAGCATTCTGTAAGAATGTCTGTCTGTCTGTCTGTCTGTCTGTCTGTCTGTCTGTCTGTCTGTCTGTCTGTCTGTCTGTCTGTCTGTCTGTCTGTCTGTCTGTCTGTCTGTCTGTCTGTCTGTCTGTCTGTCTGTCTGTCTGTCTGTCTGTCTGTCTGTCTGTCTGTCTGTCTGTCTGTCTGTCTGTCTGTCTGTCTGTCTGTCTGTCTGTCTGTCTGTCTGTCTGTCTGTCTGTCTGTCTGTCTGTCTGTCTGTCTGTCTGTCTGTCTGTCTGTCTGTCTGTCTGTCTGTCTGTCTGTCTGTCTGTCTGTCTGTCTGTCTGTCTGTCTGTCTGTCTGTCTGTCTGTCTGTCTGTCTGTCTGTCTGTCTGTCTGTCTGTCTGTCTGTCTGTCTGTCTGTCTGTCTGTCTGTCTGTCTGTCTGTCTGTCTGTCTGTCTGTCTGTCTGTCTGTCTGTCTGTCTGTCTGTCTGTCTGTCTGTCTGTCTGTCTGTCTGTCTGTCTGTCTGTCTGTCTGTCTGTCTGTCTGTCTGTCTGTCTGTCTGTCTGTCTGTCTGTCTGTCTGTCTGTCTGTCTGTCTGTCTGTCTGTCTGTCTGTCTGTCTGTCTGTCTGTCTGTCTGTCTGTCTGTCTGTCTGTCTGTCTGTCTGTCTGTCTGTCTGTCTGTCTGTCTGTCTGTCTGTCTGTCTGTCTGCCCTCCCCCTTCTGTAAGGGGGGGCTCCCATACAAATGAAACAGACATTTCTGCATAACTCGAGAACTAATCAAGCAAATGGAACCAAATTAGGCATGTGGGGGCGAGTGTGGGGGTATAAGGAGATAATCATAGGGGGTAGCCCCTTAGATAATAGGGGGGGGGGGCTACGTACAATATAGCATGCTTTTTTTAAATCGGTGCATAAACTCAAGCTAATATTGAATCCCGAGCAAGACCGGGCACACTCAGCTATTGACATATAAAATTTGTCAATTTTGCTTTCAGAAGGTCACAACTATATCGCAAGTCAGTCCCATCTGTAAAAAACTGGAAATGAGAAATCGGCGTTCAACGATTTTTCAATTCACATGATAATTCAAAGCCATATCGATTGGCGGTCAAACTGAGTATCGTAAGAACTATATTGGCCACATCCGGACATGTTCCAGATACCATAGGGGAAGTGGGCAAAATCTGTCTTGACACAAATCTCATGATGCGATGTGTTGTCTAACATATTTTTTTTTCTAATGGAACTGACTTACGGTTACTTTTGGCTGTGGGACAATTTGACTTGGTATTGTTTTTCATTTTTCATGAACAAACCACCTTTTTTCAATAGCACATCTCAAAAAACATAGAAAGATAAACTAAATAATGATGCTAACTCAAAGTTGATAAAAATGCAGATGGGACTGACTTGCGATTGTACTTCCACAAAGTTTCTTGAACTTAAACTCAGTTCCACGAGCTCAAACAAAGCTCCCTTAACTTCTTCCCAATCCCAATTCATTGAACTTATCCGAAGTTCCCTGACCCTCTATTAAGTACATATCCTGAATTTATAAGAAGTTCTACGAAATCGTGGAAAGTTTACGATTTGTCCATAACTTACAAAAAGTAATAGTTCAGCCACAAACAAACAGGCATAACACTCACAAGTTGTTCATCGAACAAGCATTTAACGGTCAATTTAAAAGTATCTCAGTTGATAGTACTGCCACCTGTGGCGCGCATAGTCAATTCCCTTGCGTTTGACATTTACACACTACCGCCATCTGTTCAGCGTACTACCCACCCCAGCTACTCAACAGATGGCGGTAATGTTTTAGCGACGATGTTTTACAATGAGAAATATTCCATGAGTTATGTATGTTTGTCTGTGGTTCAACTATAGGAATTTCTGCCAAGATTTCTGAATTTGTACGTATTTCTTATAACTCAACTGTTTCCTGAACATCTACAATGTTGCCTGAACTTCTTCCAAGATCCACACTGAGGCAAAAGTACTTAAGAATTTCATAACGCATAACTTATGAACCCGGATGATTTTGATTTCATAAGACGCTTATGCATTTCATAAGCGTAACTTATGATTTTCAGAAGCGTCGATGAAGTTATCATTTTTGGATTTGAAGTCAGTTTGTCAAAATGGCGAATCATGGAAGCCTTGTGTTCAACGAACAGAGATTAATCGCAGATTTAATTTCGAATGTACCGGGTGTGTGCATTGGACTATTTCAGCAGGCAAAACTACGCTTAATAGACTTGCTAACGTTGGATGAAGCTTCTTTTTGTTCGCTGTTTTCGAATTACTCGCTTCCATTTGAAATCAACCAAATTTGGAGCTGGGTGCTGGATTGGCGGCAGAGAAATGTAAGTATTTGCATCCTATTTTAAATGATTTATGCTTTTTTAATTGATTTCATTTCAAGCACCTTCAAAACTGTTTGCTAGTGGAAGAAGTTCCAGATTTCGCTAGAAGTGGCCAGCTCCGGAAAGAAAAAGCAGTTATAATCGGAAATCCGATCGATGTAAGTTCTTGTTTCTTATTATTTCCTCGTGTTTTACCCCATTTTGTTTTTTTTTTTTCATTTTCACAGGATCTCCGAGTGTTTAAAGAGGAAATTCAAGAAAGTTATCCATCCGCTGATGAAGATTTCAGCCATGTAAACAAACCAGTTAACGAAATTGATGATTCGAGTGAGTTTGTTCTACCAGCAGCCTCGAGTTCAGCAACCGGAAAGCAGACGACAATCACGAACGCAGCTGTATTTAAGTTTGGAATTACCACTGAAGAGTCAAATTTGGTAGCGGAAAGTGCAGAAAAATTATCTACAGAAAAACTCGAGAAAAGAGGATTATTTTCACTTCGAAGTACTCTCAGTGAGCCTACATCAAATAAAAAGCTTCCTCCAGCTGTACGTACCGTCGAGGTTTTAGAGCCAGAAGTAGCAGAGCATTTTCCTGCGAACAGAAACGTGGAACAAAACAACGTAAGTTATTTTATAATATATTTGACTAAGTTCTAAAAATCTACTTCTTTACTGCTTCTAGGAAAGAGAAGAATTTTTGACATCAGCGAACAGCGAATCACCTCCTTTTCTGTCGCCAAACCATCTCCGAGCTCTTTTGGTAAAAACAGATTATGGAAAACAAGTGTTGAAAGAAGCGACAACGCACAAGCTTTCTAACGCGGGTCAAAAGCTAGTCGTCGACACGGTTGCCCGATTCCATTTATCTTTGGGACGAAAAACCACTGCAGAGTCAATAAACGACCTTAGTGAAGTCATTATTCGCGTTTTTCCCAAAGAATCAAAGGTAAAACTTAGTGAGAATATGACACGATTAAATGATAATGTTTTCAGTGAATGGTGATTTTATTTTTAGACAATTCTTCCGTTTATTATTGACAGTCAAACATCAACGCTAAGGGTTGTACTTGTACACCCTACAAGTAAAAAATTGACGGAAAAACAAATCATTTTATTATAGAAATTAGAATTTTGGATAATCTGGCAT